GCGTGATGGCTGTTGAACGGTGCATTGGAGTCACTAAGCCAATATTTCACTCGACAAAAATGACTTCTAAACATGTGAAAATGATGTTGACTATGGTATGTCTGTTTGCTGTTCTTATAGCTTTGCTGCCTATCCTTAGGTTTAGAGCCTATCAAATTCAAGCATCGAGGACCTGGTGCTTCTATAAAACAGAACATGTTGAGGACTGGGAAGACAGATTTTATCTCTTACTTTTTTCTTGCCTTGGGTTACTGGCCCTTGCTATTTCATTCTTGTGCAATGCTGTCACAGGAATTACCCTCTTAAGAGTCAAATTTAAAAGTCAACAAAGACAAGGCAGATCTCATCATTTTGAAATGATCATTCAGCTCTTGGCTATAATGTGTGTTTCTTGCATTTGCTGGAGTCCATTCCTGGTAAGACCCTAATGTGTTTGCCAATTTTTAATGCACATCACTGTATAAAAATTATACTCTTTTATCTCCAGGTTTTAAGGTGCTTCAGCTATGATAACAGTTCCATTCACTATTGAATGCATTAATTTTGCAGCATATTACCCGTAATGTATGTACTTATGCATCTATAACAGAAATGGTAGCTGTTCTCCACTTCTGATCATACGCAAAGTACACTGAGTAAGCTAAATATACAGGGACTGTGAGGACTGTGTTTCCTGTGCTGTGAAGCAGACAGTGGTAGCAGAATGGAGACTAGAATAAATCAGAGCAAATACTGAGATTGTTCAAAACTTAAGTGAAATATTGGAGTGGCAAGTCTGATTAGTCTGTACTGCGGTTCATATATTTTTTTATTTATTTATGGTAGCCTGTTCGTTGCTATTATTATAGTTTACTGCTACTTGTGAACTGTGTTATGGAAGATAACAGTTAAGGACATGAAAATTCTCCACTCTGTTAGCAGGATATTAAGGGCTTTGCTTCAGAGGCATGTTAAAATACAGTGGTTAGTAGTAGGTTAAAATAAAAATTTGGTTTAGACCTAAGCAAGCTGGGTTTGTCATCTGGACAGATGACTAGCAAAGCTCTTTAGTGCAGTTGGTTGCTTTCTTGGCCATCCCAGCTGTACCTTAGGACTGCTTACTGGTAGCTGCTGCGCTCTTCCAATGTGGTAGGTGTTGCTTGTGTTCGTGTGTGCTCTGTCAGTGAGCAGGGTCAAAGGAGGTAGGATTATGATATGGGAAAGAAATTCATGGCTCCTGTTTTATGACGGTATTATAAAACTAATATTAACTGTGACTCTCTTCACTGCAGTAAACCTGACTGAAGAAAATTTATCTTTTACTGTGATGAGACAGGTTAAGTCATAAGTAATATGAAATCTTGTTGCCTAAAAACAAGGTACCATAGCTTTCCACTGATAAGAGTGAAGATCGATTTTAGTTTGAGCTTGCAAATACAGAAAGTTAAATGTGAGGTCTGAATCAGATCCTGCTGTCTCATCTACTCACTGCCTATGGTATAGGTTATAGCACTGAGTTATGTGAACTAGTTCTAAATTAGATGCTGATGTTACCTTCGCTGCAGCAGTTGGGTATATTTGGCACGTATCATTTAATTGATCCGGTATTGTAGACTTCAAGAAGAGAGTCTGGTTATAAATCTTGGCATCACTGAAATGCACAAAAATTCTTTCACTTTTGTTCAACACACAGAGAATGTTTCTAGGCTTGCTCTGCAACATAGTTTAAAATCACGTTGGCTTTTGTCACTGTCCTGGCTGTAGTGTACAGAGCATAAACAATGTTGTCAGAAGAATATAGCAAGCTTTTACAGTGAACTTCCTTCCAGTTACTTCTAGACATCTGAAATTTGTCTGGGGCAAGTCACAGAATGGTTTTCAAGAAAAGCATCTCAAATCATCGCCTTACTTTTCATGAAAAAAACAGTGTATTATCCTCTGATGAGTTTTATTTTCAGATAAAATAAATGTCCTTAAAGTTTGGAATTAATTTGATTTTTAAAAAGACCTTGGGTGTTGAAAGATCTATAGAATTCTTTAATTCAAAAGAGATATTTCATTTATTCAGTATATGAAGAAACACTAAATAGCAGCTACTGTGTTTGGTTTTTTCAGTGTTGGTAATTTAGTTATGCCTTTCAATTTTTATTAATTGCAAAACCATAATTTTAAAAATCTGGACAAACTTTAATGAAATCACACCACTACTTTTGTTGAAGTATTTATCTAAGTTGACAATGAATGATTATTCCAGGGGTGAATGTTTTTTCTGAGCCTTTTCAGTGTTTGCACTTTCATGAGCTGTTGATGCATACCAGTAAATGACTTCTTGCTTAATTTTGGACTTGGTAGTTTTTGGGACTGTCTTGCAGAGGGAGGTGACAGACAGTTCTGGCTCATTGGGTGGCAAATTTACGGGTGCTCTCACTGCATTCCAGGCTTGCAGCACTTTGCTTTTGGATCTCTTGGAATGAGATGAGCCAAAATATTGCCCAAATTAGCCTGAGAGTATGGAAAATCATTCTGCATTATGGAAACATCTATGTCAGAAATGAGAAGCTGAAAAAAAAGTTAGTGTAAGGTAGGACTTGAAACAAAGTTTCAAGCCAGTATTTCAGCCAGAGTTTGATAGTTTGGGAAATGCAATAGGAAGGGGTCTTTGGTAGGTATTACCTTTTTTAGCTATAAGGTCCTCAAAGTTTACATCAGAGATAATTCTCTGAATTACCCAGTCTTTGTTTTGATAGCATTCTCCTCACAGAATACAAACAGAATTATAAGTGCACTGTTAGTTTAGCAAACTCTACTGGACTGAAGGAGCATAAAGATGCAGTGGAATAAAGCTTTGCCAGGAATGTACCGCTGAAGTGCTACAACAAAGAGTTCCAGAGTTTATCAAGGCATATGATTTATGACGAATTGCTGATCTGAATCTACTTGTCCAATTTATCTGAAACCTCTACGGGCTTTTAATTTGTGAAACGAATGGTTTAAATTCTGTAATATTATTAGCATATACCAAAATAGGTTTTTCTTGAAATAAATATGAGGTGAAATTTAATAGGTGAAATTATTTGGCAAAGTAGCTAAATACGTGCTTATTTTGCAATCATTTGCTTGCTTACTTTCTTCTTTTTAAAGCCGAATCTAGAAGTAAGCATCAATCTTTGAACTGTGAATTTTGCCCATGTTCTCTATCCCAAAGAGTATACAGAACAAAATGTTATGTGAGAGTGAATTGCCTTGATATAAACCAAAGTGATTAGAAACCAAACAAATCTTTGGAAAAGAAAGTGGAGGAAGGCAAGGCAGTTTGTGCCACATATGGTGTGCAGATACAAGAGTTTGGATTTGTTTGATGTGATTGTCCATCTGATGGGGGTGTTGCTTTGTTTATCTTTCTTCTGTTTTTAATCTAGTCTGGTGTTATGAGAGCTGTCATATGTGCATAGCTACCAAAATCAAGTTTATCCAGTATTGTAATCCAACTGCAGATTTGCTTCACTATTAGTTTTTTGTTTTGTTTTGTTTTTTTCCTCAAGTGGAGTAATATATTCAGTGACTGTCCTGTGCTAAGATCACCTTTAGATGATGCTAGAGGTAGAAGACCCTAAATTGTCCTTTATGGTGTCTGGTGTGGAACCAAACTTGACTTCTGCACCTGCTAAGTGGTAGTGAACCTGTTTTGGTGTCTTTATATATGTGTGTAAATGTGTGTGTATATATATATTAAAAAAATAACATTTATTATTATATAAAAAA